GGCTCGAGGTCGCCACACGACTGAGTCAGCAGGATTCGCGGCGTTCGTCCGAATAATATTGATCAAGCACAAACGCTTCTGCGAGGTCAGAGCGGCCCCTGTAGATCTGGAGGGGTCATCTGAATTAAAAGCGGCCAGTCTGACATGACTGTCATCACGGCCCACTGCCCCCCGCAGAGTAATATGAAGGTGGAGGCTTGGAGGACGACGTGCAAAAGGGTGACAGAGTTGAGAGGAGAGCAGCCACAGATCGTTGGTGGTGGAGTGCGTCGACTCGAATTGCCAGTTTGATATCAGACAAGTTTGACAAACCTTCCTTACGCCGTCGGCGGAAGGTCTTCACGTGGGGGCGCACGCGACGGGCACGGATAACGTGGTGTCATATGGCATCTGGAGAATTTTCAGAATGGAAATGGTGGCGGTGGCGGGCAGTTTTTCCAGTGGGCCACGCGTATTTCGGGTAAGACTTCGTCATCAGCCTTGGTCGCATCCTCAGACACGCAACGGTGCAGTGCGATACGTTCAGGCGGGCCATGAGAGAACTCGAAGTCATCCCTAATTCGAAGCCGAAGGGCTATGCGCCGCTCTCGTGGACGGCACTTTCCATCTGCAGACGGCGGGACATGTGGCAGGTGAGCCTTGATGAGGTCGAGGTTCGGTTTCTATATGTTTCAAGCATGACGGATCAGGTATTGAAGCGCATGGAGAGTTGGAGAGATTGTCGGATATACATGCGGCGTAGAGGCACGAGACGCCATAAGACTTGACCACGCAAGTGCCTGGCAGGACCGAGTGACGAACATCCAACATGCTGCGCTGCGAGAGCTACGGCAGGGCTCTCCCACGACGCCCTCCCAGGCCTACCGCGAGGAGTGGGGCTTCCAGTTGCAGCAGCGACGGGAGGAATGCAGCGGCAGCGGAAGATGGTAAATAACGGTTCAGAAAATTGGATCGGGAGATCAATCAAGCCAAGAGCAAGTTAGATCTCGAGCAGGTAGCACGCCTCCACGAGGAGGCGGAGACACGCCGGCGCCCAGCATACACCAGCACTGTTTGGATTATAGTCTATGCCGCTGGTGCGCGATGTCGCGGGCCCCGTTAGCGAGTCTGTAATGCACCCGATTCGCGCCGCCCTTCCTTGGAGGAGTGGGGTCACGCTATGAGAGCCACTGCATGGGGAGGTGTTGTTTCGGCCAAGGTTTCCATGGCACGAAGGGAGGCGGTGGAGTAGGTGATCGCGAGACTTCAGGAGAAGGGACCTGGACGCATTCGGAGGCGTTCCAGCATCGGTTTCTTGGGGCGATTGGTTTCGTGTGCTGGCTCAGCTGATGAGAGGTGCGCACCGACGTTTCGCGCCGCCCCATTCTGCCCCAGTTGAGTTGTGGAATCAGCTGTTCCAACATGCAACGGGGCAAGTTGCTGGGTCGCGGCCGCTCACAGGCCACATATCGAAAAAGGAACTGCGGAAGGTACCTTGGTGGATGCGCGATGCGCGCCCCATTTCCCGCGAACGCCTTCCGCGCCCAGCCCGTCAGTTTCGGGCCAAGTCGCGAATTCCACCCCGGTGGCGCTGGAGTAAAAACTTACAGCTCTTGAGGGGGGCCAGAAAACGGGCGCCGAAGCGATGGGGGTCATGCGCTGCTATTGCCAGTTTTTGACAGGCTTGGTCTCGCGGGCTCGTCCTTCGTTTCGATCGCCCCCCTGCCGGCGCGCGCGCGGATCTGCCCCTCGTGGGTCCCGCCCGAATGCCCGGCTTGCTGCTCTGAGTTGTGGGCTTCGCGTCTCCTGCAAGAGGTCGCGTCGAATGCCTTTCCCTGGGCGTCTCGCGACCTGTGGGCTCGGGCGGCGCTGGAGATCGCGCCGCGCTCCCACGGCTGAGTCGTTCTTCGCCAGAGGCGTGGGGGGCGGCAATAGAGATCAGGGCGGGGGAGGAGATCGAGCATTTTCAGCCTGCGCGCGGGCCTGGGGCCGGGGGCGGGAGCGCTTGCAAGCTATTCGTTCGTAGTCTTCTCCCGCAGGTCGAAGCTTGGATGTGGGGGCTCCCTAGCTGCGCCGCGAGTGATCGCGGCGCTGGGATGGCCGACCCAGTGCCGCTTGCCGAAGCGGCCAGCGTCATGGCCTGCGCGCTGTCGTAAGAGATGCGCGACGCTTCCAGTCGAGACTGCGCGGGTGACATTCGTCAGACTTTCCCCGTTTGCTCTCCCAGCCCTAGCGAAGCCGAGAAACGGATCCTATGGTCGAGCGCCATTCCCGACGAGGAATTGGAGGATGGGGGGTGGGCGTGATCTGAACTTACACAAAGAAGCTTGTGTGCCAGTGTTGGCCGGACCTGGGGCCTGCGCCGCCACTCGTTCTTTCCTCTCCCACGCGGTCTCTCGGCCCGGGGTTGTGGCGGCCGAGAGTCTGTCCTCCGGGGGGAATGGGGCGATTCACCGGGGGGTGCGCGCGAGGAACCGAGAGGGGGATGGAATTTGCGTGGGCGCCTTGGAGGAGGATGGTGAGGTTCTGAGAGATGACGCGCTCGATTTGGCTAGAGAGAATTTTGTTTTTATGGGCATCGTCTGCAGTGCAGGGTGCTCGGGGCTCGAGTCTTGCTTGCCTGGGGTGCGCGACTGGTGTCGGTTGGGTGCAGCGGCCTTCGGCTTCGCGATTGTTGTCCTGACAGACAAGCAGCCCACGTTCTCGCAGGATGCGCCCGAAGAAGCGCGCCCCTCATGTCGATCCTGGCCTGATGCTGTTGTATGTATGAAGATGTGGATCACGGATGCCAGGGCCGAAATACTGGTCGGCCGCGCCGGCGGCGGCACTGCGTCTTTTTCCCCGATGACAGGGGGCAAGGGTTGGTGGTGCTCTCTGGGGCCCTCGGGGGCTTGGGGGCGGCCCCCGCCTTCTTAAGGGGCGGGCCCGCGGGCCCCGCGGCTGGCCCGTGGCCCTCGCAGGTTCAGAGGCGTCGGAGCTTTCAGCTTTTTGATCCGGCGTGGTGGGCGGGGGTGGGGGGGTGGGGGTGGGGCGGGGTGCTGGGGCGGCGGTGGTGGTGGTGGTGGTGGTGGTGGCGGTGGTGGTGGTGACCGTGGAGGGGGATATCTTGGGGGTCTACTCGGTTGGAAGTAATCGCGAGGGCGATGGTTTAGATGCAGTTTTGCGTGTTCAACTCCGACAAGATCTGCAAGGTCCCCGAAGTCAGAGGCTCTGCCAAGCCCCCCCCCCCCCCCCCCCCTTTCAACGCGCGCGACTTGGAAAACGCCCCCCTGAAGCCTTTGTCTGCCAGATCGCCAGATCCACGGGGGTGGGCTATGTGGCGCCTGTGGGGGGATATCTTATTGCGGCGGGGCCATGGTCGCTCGCCAGTGCCGCTGACCTGATCGTGGGATGTGAGTGTATGCCCACTTGTCGGCGGTGACTAACCAGCGCCTGTCCTGCGCGTCCGCCTTCGAGAGTCAGGGTGCGGCTAGCAGGCGCGTGGCCTAATCGTTGCGGAGAGGGGGTTTCCCGTGCGCTTGAATTCCCTGTGCCCCCTGCAGTCGGTGCCCGGGATGATTGGCCTTGCCCTTTCTGCGTGTGCGTGGGAACCGCGGTGGAGTGCGTCATCTGCGGCGTGCCGCTCGGCGAATGTCGCGCCGTTCCTTTCGGGGCCCTTCCTGGGCTACAAGTGCATGGTGGATGATATGTGAGTGCGCCTCCCGCCCCGCATATGGTTTCCCGCGCGTGGGCCGACGGGTCTTTGACAGAGCCTCCAGCGTCGAGCTGGGCAACGGTGCGAACGAGCTCGGACTTTCGCGCGGTGGGGGGGGGGGGGCAGGCGCAGACGACGACGACCGGGCTGCAGAGCGCCGCGACGGGGCGCGGCGACCGCGGGGTCGGGTGGCACCGGCCCGACATTGGCATGGGCGGCGGGCGCGGCCGTGGGCGCGGCGCCCCAGTGCCACTCGCCAGATCATAAGATGTAAGTGCCTGCCCACTTGTTGGTGGTGGCTAGCCACCGCCTGTTCTGCGTGCCCGCGTTCGAGAGTCAGGGCGTGGCTAGCAGGCGCGTGGCCCACTCGTTTCAGAGCGCGAGGTGCTCGTGCGACCGCGGTCCCCGCGCCCCCTTCAATCCAGGCCCCGGATAAATTGCGTTGCCCTTCTCTGCGTGGGCGCGTGGGCCGCGATGGAATGCGTCATCTGTTGCCTCTCGCGCGGCGACGAGCGCGCTTTGCCTCTGGGCGCCCTTCCCGAGCTCCAATGTGCATTATTCAGAAGCGCGCATCCCGCGTCATATTTGGTTGCTCGCGCGCGGGCCGATGGATCTTCGACGGCGCTTTCGGCGTCGACCTTGGCGACCGCGCGGGCGAGCTCAGACGCTCCCGCGGCGGAGAGGGGCGGGCGCAGACGTGGGGGCCAGACCGCAGAGCGCCTCGCCGGGGCGCGGCGACCGCGGGGTCGGGCGACGCAGGCCCAGCGCAGGCAGGGGTGGCAGGCGCGGCCGCGGGTGCGGCGCCGCAGCGGCGGCGGCGCCAGCGGCGAATGCAGGGCCAGATCGGGGCGCGGCTCTCCTAGATCATCGATGCCGCGGGGGGGGGGGGGGGCGCGCGGGCTGCAGAGTAAGGGCTTCGTCCAGTTCCAGAGCGGCTTCGATGCCCCTCGAGTTGCTGCTAGCGCTCGTGCCGGCGTCGATCAAGGCCGCGCTCGTGCGCGCGCGGGGCTCGGCGGCGCTGGAGAGCGCAGCGTTCAGACGGGCTCGCGTCGAAGCGACCTCGGACGCTGCGACGGCCGTGGAGCCGCGGGCCAGCCTGTCGCCGCAAAAACCGATCATCTCTGGCAGGGGCGTCGGCAGGGCCTCGCGGAGGGGCGCGCGCTGCCTAAGCTTGTCAGGCTGGGCGCGCCTCATCCCCACTCGCATGTGGTCCTGGTGGGGGCGCGCCATCAGCAGGGGGGCAAAGTTGGCGTAGTCAACGCAGGCAGTGCCAATACTTCTATGGACCGCTCGGGGCGATCCCCCAGTGACCAACGAGGTTCTGGCAGCTCAGGTCATGTATTGCAAGGTATCCTGTGCGCGCGACAGGTCGGTCACTCAACTTTCCCCCGAGGCCAGCGGCGCGCAGATGAAGAGGGGGGCCCTCGAGGCCCCCGTCCATTTTGGGGTCGAGATCGCGAAGGGGGCCCCGCCAACGAGCCCCCGAGATCGCCTTCCCAGTTATTCCTCGATGGGCTCCTGGACTTTTCGGGCAGCCTTGCATCGCATCCCGAGTGGTGAGCTCGAGGGGGTTCGTGGCCCCCGGAGTGAGTGAGGCAGAGCGTCAGAGCTTGCAGTTGCAGACGCGTGCTGGACCAACAGTAGGTGCAGATGATCCCTCGCACTGAGGCGGGCCCCCTTCCTCGACCCTTCTTCGTTGTTTTTTTGTGTCGTTTTAGCCGTCAGGTCGTCCTCCCCCAACCCTTTCCCCCACTGTCGATGACGCGATCTTCCGTTGGAGTCGGCGCATCCAGGGACCTTTTCAGTGGAACGGCGCCCGATGGCACGGCGTTGGCCGCCCGTGAAGTTTTAGTCTCGGGCCTGCGCCCTTGCTATCAGCCGAATGTGAAATTATTGTGCTGCCTTCCTGCGTTGTTTCCTAGTTCGCTGTCGTTGGGGAGTGCTGCTTGGCCCCTAAGGTATTTCCGAGTTGGGTTGGCCAAGCTGTGCGAGCCCCCCCCCCCGCGTGCGAGCGCACCGCTTGCTATAACGCGCTCTTCACACATGAGCGCGTTGGCGAGTTTTTTGGTGCCAGCAGTCTGACTCGATTACCAACCAGGAAGGGTCCGCCGCCGCCGCATCACCCCCTCCCTCCTTCTCTCCCTCCCTCCCTTCCTCCCTCCCTCCCTCAATCGCTGTCTCTGCCGTTTGGACGTCCTCGTAGTCGTCACCTCCCATATTTCGTGCACTCCAAAAAGAGCCCCTGATGTGGCCAAAATGCCATGGTCCGCACGGCGTCGCCGCGTCATGTCGGCACGCCCCTCACTTCGTGGCCCAGTACGAAGCTCCAGCTTGGGTCAAAATGCCATGGTCCGCGTTGCGTCGCTGATTCATGTCGGCACACCCCTTGCACGTTTCGTTGCCCGCGTGGCGTCGCTGCCACACCCCTCGCACGTCTCGTGGCCCCGTGAGGAGCTCCAGCTAACGCTTCAATTCGGCACAATACTCCACGTCTCGTGGCTCCATAGGGAACGAACCCAGAGGGGAAGTGAAAGGAGGCAAGCCTTCCGAGAAACCGCCCGTGACTTCGGACGAGGCTCGCGGTGCCTCTCGGAAGGCCAGAGGGCTCCGAGAAACCCCGCCGCGTTCTGAGATGCCCCCCCCTCTTTTCCCCCGCGGGTTCGCCGCCAACAACCAGTATCCCTCAGCCAGTCCTCCCCTCCACAGGAAGGGCGCCCCAAGGCACCCGAAAGGGTCCCTGGGATCTCTGGGGCTCCTGGCAGCCCCAGGAAGGTCCTCGCGTGCCTCCGCGGGCCTCCGGGGATCTTTTTCCTCCTCCTTCCCCTTCTCCTCCTCCTCCTCCTCCTCCTCCTCCTCCTCCTTTTCCTCCTCCTCTTCCTCCTCCTCCTTCCCCCCGGGCTCGCCGCCATCTTATGTCCTTGGGACGCCTGGCTTTCTGCGCTCTGTGCCCCCCCCCCCGTGGCTGCCGTGTCGTGCCTGGGCCAGCTCTTCATCCTGAGCTGTCTCGTGGATGTCCAGATCGTCCAATGTCCAGTTTTTGTTTGGTTGTTTTTTTTCAGTGCTCACTCCTAGAGGTGTTGGCGGAGGTCTCCACCGTTTTTCTCGACCGCAACCCGCGGGCCTGCTCTTCATCCTGAGCTGCATGCTGATGATCCAACTCAATCGTCCAGAATTTAGTTTTTGGATTGTGCGCGACTTCGGAGGCTTGGGAGGAGGTCTTTGTTGCACCTGTCGACCGTCACCCGCGGGACAGCTTACCATCCTGAGCTGCCTGCTGATTGTTCCAAACGCCCCCCTCCCCACCCCGAGGTTTCATTCTTAGAAGCGTGCGAGGCCACCCAGTCGTGTTTTCCTGTGCGCGAGCCCTGGAGGTCTGGATAGAGGTTTCTGACGGTCTCGGGAGGTCATCAGAGGCCCCCTGTGACCTCGGGAGTCCTCCAGAGGCCGCCAGAGGCCCAAAAAATCTAGGTCGTGGTAGTGGTCGTGGTCGTCGCGGTCGTCGACGAAGTCGGCGTCGTGGTCATGGTCGTCGTCGTCGTCGTCGTCGTCGTCCTCGCCCTCGTCCTCGCCCTAGCCCTCGTCCTCCTCGTCCTCGTCGTTCTTGTCGTCTTCGTCGTCGTCTTCTCTGTCGCCGCCCTCGTGCTCGACGCGGTTGTCTTTTTCTTTGTCTTTGTCGTCGTCGTCGTCGTCGTCGTCGTCGTCGTCGTCGTCGTTGGTGGCTGTCGTCGTTTTCGTCGTCGTCGTTCGTCGTGTCGTTGTGGTCGTGCTCCGGGCCGCCACCAGGAGCTGCCGAGCTGGGTCGGGCGGGTGGCGGACGCCGCCGGCTGCGTCCTGGCGCCGCTGCTAGACGCCCTGGACATATCGCTCGTGCCGCCAGGCCGGCCACGGCGACGGCCACGACGGCGGCGACCGCAACGACGGCGGCGCCGACGACGGCGATCGTTGACGGCGGCGGCGGCGACGACGACGACGGCGGCGGCAGCGGCGGTGGCGGCGGCGGCGGCGGCGGCGGCAGCGGCGGTGGCGGCGGCGACGGCGGCGGCGGCGGCGGCGACGCGGCGGCGGCGGCGAGGACGCGGCGACGGGCTCCTTTCTTGATTTCAGTTGCTTTTTAGGGTGCTTCTGTGGCTGTCGTCGTCACGGCTCGACGAAGGACAGCGTCGCGGGCGTCGTCGTTGTCGTCGTCTTTGTCGTCTTTGTCTTTGTCGTCGTCGTCGTCGTCTTTGGCAGGGGGGCGCCTGGGCGTCGTGGTGGATGCTTCGAAGCTGCACAGGGGCGCTTTGCGAGAGGAAGTCGTTGTTGATTTGTGGAGGCTTTCTTGCCTCGGGATGCTTTCTAGCAGCTGCGCCTCGTCGAGAGCTTTCTAGGGTGCCCAGATCGTCCCGATCAGCCATTGGACGCCCGAGGTACGACCAGAAACCATCAGACGTCGTGGGGGATGCTTCGAAGCTCCTCCCTCTGATCTTGCCGCCATCGTCGTCCTCACCGCCGCCTGTCCTCGTCGTCGCCGCCGCCGCCGTCGTCGTTGTCATCGTCCTCGGCCTTGTCCTCATCCAGGGTCTCGACGATGCCGTCGTCTCTTCTCCAGCCAGGACCTGAGCCAGGTTTGTGGATCCAGGATCCTGACCTTGACTCTGGATCTTGCATTTTGGGCCCTTTGTTCGGGATCCCGCCATTATCCCGTCCCTCATCCTCGTCTTCGCAAGGCGCCTCCGCTTCGTCGTTGTCGTCATCGTCGTTCTCGGCACCGCTGCAACCGCTGCCGCCGCCGCCACCGCCGCCGCCACCGCCGCCGTCGTTGTTGTTGTTGGTCGTTTTCGTGCGTCGTGCGTCGGCTTCTTCGTCCCTGGCCTCGGCCTTCTTTTCGCGCTCGTACATGTCCTTGCCCTTGTCCTCGTCCTCGCAGGCGAGAGATGGATGGTGATGGTGGTGGTGATGGTGATGTTGTTGACAGGGATGATGATGGTGATGGTGATGGTGGTGATGTTGCTTGTGATGGTAATGATGATGATGACAGGATGACGATGTCGAAGGCGACGGCGAGGGCGGCACTGCTGACGATGATCTTGACAATGTTGGTCATGACGACGGAGACGACCATGACGACGATGGAGAGAACGATCCTGAAAATGGTGATGGTGGTGGTGATGCTGATGATGATGCCGACGACGACATTGACGGCGACTGCGACGACGACGGCTGTGACGATGATTATGATGAAGAAGACGACGAAGCTGATGACGATGGCGTTGCAAATTGTGAGGGTGGTGATGATGATGAGGACGATGATGAAGATGTAGATAGTGATGATGATGATGCTGATGCTGATGATGATGAACCGACGCTGATGATGCTGATGATGCTGATGATGCTGATGGGATGATTATGATGATGCTGATGATGATGCTGACGACGTTCATCAGACTGATTGATATGATGATGGTGTGGGTGATGAAACGTATGATCATGTTGAAGATGATGACGTCGGTGGTCTCGACGACCACGGCGACGGCGATGAAGACGAGGACGATGATGCTAGTGATGATAATGATGATGATGATGATGATGATGATGATGATGATGATGATGATGATGATGATGATGATTACGATGACGATGACGATGACGATGACGATGACGATGATGATCATGACGATCACGATTTGATGATGATGATGCTGAGGATGATGATGATGATGACGAGGATGATGCTGACGCTGCTGCTGCTGCTGATGATGATGATGATGATGAACATTACGCAGCCGTCGACGGCGGCGACGACGACGTCGACGATGATGACGATTCTGTTTATGAAGTTGAGGACGGTGATGCTCATGCCCAAAATGCTGATCGTCACGATGTGGATGATGATGGTGACGATGATGATGACGATGCTGATGCTGCTGATGATGATCACGACGACGACGGTGGAAGGTCATGGTTGTGTGATTTTGGCGATTATGGCGAGGATGGAGATTTCGATGACGACTATACAGATGGTGATACTGATGATGTTGTTGTTGATGACGATGATGATGACGATGATGTTGGCGGCGACGACGTCGCTCACGGCGATGGCGAGGTCGACGTCGTGGACGATGACGACGCTGACGACCATGACGACGACGATGGCTACGATGATGTCGTGGACGGTGATGATCTCCATGAGTGTGATCATGATGATCGTACTGACTATCATATGATGACGGTGAAGATGAGAACAATGGCGACAATGAGAACAACGGCGACAATGGTGACGACGACTTCGTTGACGACGACGATGGTGATGATGCTGATGATGATGCTGCTGCTGCTGATGCTGACTATGATGATGATGATGATGATGATGATGATGATGATGATGATGATGATGATGATGATGATGATGATGATGCTGACGCTTATGGTATTGATGCAGGTCATGTGGTGATTATGCTCATGATGCTGCTGCTGATAATGCTGATGATACTGGTGATGGGGATGCTGCTGATGATGATTATGACGCGATGATGTCGATACTGATGATGGTGATGATGATGATGATGATGATGATGATGATGATGATGATGATGATGATGATCATGGTGGTGGTGATGATGATGATGATGATCATGATGGCTGATGGTGGTTGCGGTGGGTTGTGGTGGTGGTGGCGGTTGGTGGTGGTGGTGGTGGTGGTGGTGATGATGATGATGATGATGATGATGATGATGATGATGATGGTGGTGATGATGATGGTGGTGATGTAGTACGGCGCTCCGTCTTCCCTAGGCGGCAACCAGCCCAACTCGCCCTTCTGGCGGGCGGACGAGGGCTCGGCGGCGGAGGCCTCCGCCACGCCGCCCTCGCTGGTTCCGCCCGGGCGGGCGAGCGCCGGGGACGCGCAGGCTTCGTCGCCGCTGCCGCCGTCGGCGTCGTCGGCTACGTCACCTTCGTCAGAAACATGTCGTCCCGTGATGTGAAGAACCCCCCTCCTCCTCCTCCTCCTCCTCCTCCTCCTCTTCCTGCTCCTCCTCCTGCTCCTCCCCTCCTCTTCCTCCTCCTTCTCCTCCTCCTCATCATCATCATCATCCCCTCCTGTTCTTCCTCCTCCTCCTCCTCCTCAGTATGACATCGCGTTATATACGGGTCCAAGTCGCCTGCGTCTGTCAGCGGTGGACAAGGTACCCTGCGTTAGGTAATAATTGTGGGCCCCCTCCCTCAACGTCAACCTGTCCGCGCCCGTGGTGCGGGAGTCGATTTTGGGCTGTCGGCGGGGGTGCGCCCCACCCCCACGCTTCGTACCAAACTCAGAGTACCAATACTCTTGCCCCGATTTCGCGCTTTGGGGCCTCCTGGAAGGCCCTTGTCGCCACGGCTAGATTCGCCTCGAAATTTTGGTCAGACTGGGAGAGGTTCGGGGAGTAGCCGTTTCTTAACTTCTGGTTTCCCCAGTCGTCCTCCCTCCCTCCTTCTACTCCCGAAGACGAACGATCGGCATACACAGAAGCTTTTGGACGGGAATTTAGCGCAGATCCAAAGATTCTGCGCGGCGCTCCGGAAGTTTTCATGTGTGCGTTTTTCGTAGTTCTCCTCCTCTCCTCGTCCTCAACTGTTCCCCGCCCCGGGTCCTCTCCTTGTTTCTCGTCCGCTTCGTCCTGCTCTTTCCTCTTCCCTCCTCCAGTGCACGAGCGCCATCCGCCCCAGGACAGACCGAGCGAACCGAGCACTCTGAGCGGAGCCGCTCCTCCCTCCGTCCTGCCTCTGTTTACTGTGCTGAACTTGACTTTCGGTGCCCGTGCAGAGTTTTCGAGCCTCGACTTTTAGTATAGACGCACGAGCTGTCTGTGCTAACTGCCTCTGCTAGCCGCAGCGCCACTCTTTCGCGACAGCCGCCAGGTTCAACGCGCGTGCAATCCAAAAAATCCGTCCTCCCTCCTGGAGTAAGGTCCTCGGTGGCCTGCCCTTGGGTGCGCGAGCGCATCGTGGGCGTATAGCACGGCCTCTCGGGTATGGCCAACAACGCTCCAAAACGCTCCCTCCTCCTTCCCCTTCCCTGCTCCCTCCTACCTCCTCCTCCTCCTCCCCCTCCTCATTTTTCCTCCCCCCCCTCCTCCTCCTCCTCCTCCTCCTCCTCCTCCTCCTCCTCCTCCTCCTCCTCCTCCTCCTCCTCCGCATTCCCTTCCGTCCCTCCTACCTCCTCATCCACCTCCTCGCTCCCCCCATCACACTCCCTCCCCTGGGGCACCGGAGGCCGTGAGGGGCTTCTGGGTACTCCCGGGGCCCTCCCCCGCGGGGGCCTCAGGAGGTACTGCCAGGGGGCGTCCAGGCTCGAGGAGCAGATCGAGCTGGACTTTGTTCTCAAGTTTCTCGGCGTCCAGGGGCCGTGCCTGGGCTGCAGGGCCGTCAAGCCACGGCGCGGGAGGAAGAGGGACCGATCCTTTTCCTCTCTCTTCACCCCTCCTCACTCCTCCTCGCTGCTCGCTCCTCCTCCTGCTCCTCCTCCTGCTGCTCCTGCTGCTCCTCCTTCTCCTCCTCCTCCTCCTCCTCCTCCTGCTTTTGGGTCCTGGGAGGGGCCGAAAGGTCTGAGTCGGCGGTCTGTGGCCGATTCCATCGCGCCCCGTGCGGAGCCACGGCGTGCGGATACCGTGCAGTGAAAATCCACAGGAGGGACGTGCCGCTTCATCAAGGCTGCCCTCGCATCCCTGCGTCCTGGGCCCATCCTGAGCCAGTGTTGACGTCCAAGGATCTCTAAATGGCGCGTGGGACTTCGGGGGTCTTGCATCCTTACCCCTGCACCCTGGCTATGGGTGTTGCTCATAATCTCGACGAGGTTGGTCGCGAAGCGTGCGCCAGGGCTGGACCTAGACGGTGTTTTCGGCGATTTCGTGGGCCGTTTTCGGTTCGACTTCGTTTTGCGGTAAAGGCGGGGTGAAGACAAAACAAGGGCAAACGAGCACAGAACGAAAACGAAAAACACCGTTGAGGTTCAGCCCTGCCTCAGGGGTCTTGCATCCTTACCCTTTGCACCCTGGCTGTGGGCTTTTGCTCACAATCGCGGCGAGGTTGGTCGCGAAGCGTGCACGGCAGGCCGCGCGCCGCGTTCACGCGGCGGCGGCCCCCGCGCGGGCGTTCGAGGGGTCGGGCGCCGCCAGTGGCCAGGGATCGGCCGACATCGAACGGTCCGCGCTGTCAGACGGCAGGGCTGGACCCGGACGGTGTTTTCGGTGATCTCGTGGGCCGTTTTCGTTTCGACTTCGTTTTGCGGTATAGGCGGATTCGAGACAACAGCGAGGGAAACCGAAAACAAATCGAAAACGAAAAACACCGTTTAGGTTCAGCCCTGTCAGACAGCGTCGACCGTTCAGTACAGCGCCGGTTTTAATACATGCTCCGCGTGCGGACCATGTATTAAGAATAAAGGGTTGATTAATACGTACAAGGATCAGTTTATGCATTAATTTGTTCATACATTGATCATGCATTATAATTCCTGTATATATATGCATATAAAAAATACTATGTATTTAAACCTGCCCTGTACGGTCCACACTGATCGTAAGGAGAATCGACTTCCCAAGGGTACCAATACATTCTTGCCTCTTCGGTCATTCTCGGTCCATCCTTGAGCAACCTTGACCACTCTCGATGGCCAGCCCCGCTCGGAAAGCTTCGACATGGGCGTCCAAGGGGCTTGCATCCTTATCGCGCATCCTTGCTATCAGTTGTCACTGTATCAGACAACGCCGACCGTTCAGTATCCAACGATGCACGCGGTGTCAGAGGCCAGAGCTAATGTCGACTCGACACGAGCCAGCCGCGCATCGGCCCCGGGCCAGACCAGGAGGGATTGGCGCATCAGAATCTCGTGGTGGTGCGCGCTTTTCTCAGGAGGGAAAAGCACAGCCACAACTAAGTATCGATCTCCCGGAAAATACGGGAGAACATGGAACTGGCAGGGCATGCGTAAGTATGGAACAATGTGGGGAATCGTGGGATTCGAGTCTATTCCATAGTGTCTCCCTGGGCCCCTTCACTGGTGCCTCAAGATCTGATGGTGGTGCGCGTTTGTCCCCCCATCCCTGCACATCGTGGCCCGCCCTCCCTCAGCTGCGCTGAAAGGACTGGAATGGCCCCTTGCCTGAGTGGCCTCCGGTGTGCGGCTTTCGGGAAGGGGGGGGGGGGCGCGCCTAAGCCTCAGCGCGCCGGCGGTTGCTGCCGAATCGCTCGCATCGCTCGGTGAGCCGCGCGCCAAAGGTCACTCTTGGCGTGTAGCCGACTCCCCGAGGCCACCGCGCCGCGTGCCTACGCCTGGCGCCCACTTGGGTCGCCCTCGCGTCCTTGCCAGTGCCCTTCGGTGACGCGTGGGCGGCGGCCGCAGCAAGCGAGTGGCGGCCCGCGGCGGCGACGAAGATGCTGGCGGCAGCGACCACGGCGGCGGCGGCGGCGACGAAGATGACGGCGGCGACGACTGAGATGATGACGAGGACCCGATACGTGATGCTGTATGCCCTTCAGCGAGCCGCGGGTGGCAGCTGCAGCAGGCGGCGGCGGCGGCCCGCGACGACGACGACCACTCGTCGGCGACGGCGACCGCAGACTTGACTCTCCCGGTACGTGGTGCTGCAAGCCCGCCGGCGCCGCGCAAGCGGCAGCTGCGGCCAGCGGCGGCGGGTGGCCTGCGACGCCGAGGCCACCGGACGGCGACGGGGACGGCTGCGGCGACGGCAGCGCCCGAGCCCCGCGCGGCCGCCTCAGGCCGCCGCGCCCGAGCGGCCCGCCGCGGGCCCGCCGCGCTGCCTGCTGTCGGTGCCCGCCACGGGCCGAGGGACAAAGGGCCCTGAGGAACCTGCAGTCCTTCCCCAGGGTACCCTTGCATCCTCCTCCTCCTCCTCCTCCTCCTCCTCCTCCTCCTCCTCCTCCTCCCTCTCCTCCTAAAGGGTACCCTTGCATCCTCCTCCTCCTCCTCCTCCTCATAGCACACAGGGTTTGGCGGCACCGGCCGTAGAACCTTCGCAATCATGGCGTGCGGCATGTGCGCGGGCGAGGGGGGGCCCGCATAGGAAGGATGGGCAACCTTGCCCAGGGTAGCCTTGCATCCTCGGTCCATCCTTGGCCACTTTCGTTGGCCAACGCTCGGTCCGCCCTTGGCCGCTTTCGTTGGCTAACGCTCGGTCCATCTAGTGAGGATGGGCCTCCTCGGTCCATCCTTGGCCACTTCCGTTGGGCGCGCTCCGCTCGAGAAGCTTCGACATGGGCGCCCAAGGCCCTTGCATCCTTATCGTGCATGCTTATGATACGGGCCGACTGTACAGTACCCTTTGTGTGTGCACCCTGTGTCTAGGCCTCCCACGATGGCGTCGGAGCAGATGGGGTTCGAGGATCGAGCCGCATCGCCGATGCATCGGCAATGCGGCTCGATGCGGCGCCCGATTGTCTCTACGCCGACGTCGCCGATGCATTGCCGACGTCTCCGAAGTATCGCCGACTTTGCCGTGCGTGTGTGTGTGTGTGTGTGTGTGTGTGTGTGTGTGTGTGTGCGTCCGTGTACTATACTCGCGTCTGCCCCCCCCCCCCCCCCCGCGAGTAATGGCCGCGCGCGTCATTTGGCCCGCGCCGCTGCGCTCCTGGCCGCGATGCCAAGAATGTGGTATCCTACCTCTCTCGAAGAAGACAAGTCGACACGTAGACATAACCTTTTGGAGGTCCGTGCGGATTTCTTGGATCGGCGCTGGGCCCCTCTGGCGCCGCCTTCGGCGCCGCCCTTGATGCTCTCAGCGCGCCAGGGGGGGGATCCAGCGCCGATCCGAGACATCCGCGCGGACCTTCGAACGTTTAGTTCACGCAGTTCTCCGCCTCGACTGCCCCCTTCCCTCTCGTCATCTGTTGCTGCATTGGCCTCGGCACTGGCACTGCGTGAGGGTCAGCTCTGCCAGGAGGAACATCTGCACCATCGCCTGCAGCCAGTTCGCTGACATAGCTTACATCTCGCGTCAGCGTACAGTCGGCCCGGATTAGTAGGTCGACCCTGCCACATCAAGGGTACCCCTGTGTCCTGTGCCTCGCTGCCCATGCTTCCTGCATTCCTGTGGCAATGTGGCCCTCGGAAGGGTTTTGTGTCCTCTCGCGCGCCCTGCCCAATCGAGCCCGGCTGTGTGGTGCTCACGTCACGTACGCACCGCTTGGAGCTCGGGATCGGCTCGGGTCCTCGGGCCCCGCCTCAGGACCTGTGCCGTGGGGCCTGCCGGGGGCCTGCGCTGGCCAGAGGAGCCCCCCTCCGTGCCATCTCCTTCTGGAGGGGACAAACACACAGACACACAGACACAATGAATCGTCGCCCAGAAACATGGAGGAGGAGGAGGAGGAGGAGGAGGAGGAGGAGGAGGAGGAGGAGGGAGGAGAGGAGGAGGAGGAGAGGAGGAGGAGGAGGAGGAGGAGGAGGAGGAGGAGGAGGAGGTATGGGAAAATTTGGGAAGTGGGGGAAGACAAACACCCAGAACATATGGGAAAGTATAGGGGGCATCCTGTTATTTGTGTCTATTCATTTGCGTGTCCCAGGGCCCCCCCCATCCTCGCGCCCCTCCTCCTGGCGCGGTGGCTGCAGGGCCGGAGCGGGCTCCTGGAGCCCCCACTTCCCCCCCGAGCGCGTCGGCGCGCCGCGCCGAGGGGCTGCGGCGCCCTCGGCGCGGGGTGCTTGCCAGCGGCCTGGGACGGTGTCGGGCTGTCGGCGGGCGTCGCGCCCGTCCCCCCCCCCAGCGCTGGTCGAGAAGCGCCAGCAGAGTGAGCACATCAGGGCTGGACCGAAACGGTGTTTTTGGTGATTTCGTGGGCCGTTTCCGTTTCGACATCGTTTTGCAGTAGAAGCGGATTCGAGACGAAAGCGAGGTAAAACGAAAACAAAACGAAAATGACAAACACCCTTCAGGTTCAGCCCTGAAGCACATGTCTAAGAAGCAGGCCTGTCAGCAGGTGCCCCGCGGAAGTCCTTGATTGCCCGATGGGCCTGAGGATCCGCTGGGCACCTCAGGAAGCCGTCATCCCGCGGGGAGAGTGCTTCTGCATTTCTCATGGCTGCCAGCGCGGAGCCCCAGCAGTGGTTTCTTGCTCTCTTTGTCTGTACACTCCATGCGGTGCAATACATGGGATGCTTCTTGTGTTGTGCAATATGTGTGGAGTTGCCCAGCTATGTGATAACTTAAGCTCTGCGGTGACTCAAGCTATATGGTGATTCAAGCTTTGTGCACTATATGCTTGGTTCATCTTAAGTATGCCCAGGACGTTTTTTTAGCGTTTTCAGCTCGGCGTCTTGGGAACCATTCTTTAAAGCGTCTTCAGGTCTCAAAAAACAATTGCAAACGCTAATCAAATGATGCGTTGTTTTAGCGTTTTCAGAGTATTTTGCAGCGTTTTCAGATCCGTGGATTGGGTGCCTCCTTCTCCTTCTGTATCCGTATCGCCTTCTTTATACAAGCTTGCTTTTCTGTGGCCGTCGCTGGTGACTCGTCGCGGAAGCCCGCCCTCCCCTGCTGCCACCCCCCTTCCCCCCCCCCGGAGGCCTAGAGCGCTCCCTCCGGCCGCCGCTGGGCTTTTGGGCCTCCGGGCCTGTTTCGTGCCGGTGCACACCGGTGTGAGACCGGTGTCTCAGAGCGTTTTTTCGTTGCGTTTTTAGAAGGGGGGGCAGAACTGGCGAACGGTGGCAGGACGGGGAGCGCGGGAGCCAAGCTGGCAGAGAAGACAAGGAGGAGCCTTCGACGATAATGCAAACAAAAACGCAAAATTACGCTACCGAGGAACCCCACATACTTAACTTAAATCTTGTGTGTTTGCTAAGTTTATACTATATGCGCAATTCTGCGTTCTCAGCCCTCGTCGCGAATGTTCCCCTATGTGTCATCCAACGCCATATTGCTTGAACCTGCGAACGTGTGACGGGTAGACGCCGCGCTGAGGGACCACCCCCTGCGCCCCCCCAGCGGTGTCGAGAAAGTGCCGCGCCTGCCACGCTCTGCGAGCGTGTCACGGATAGAGGCCGCACTGAGGGACCACCCTCTGCGCACCCCCATGTGGTGTCGAGAATGTGCCGCGCCTGCCACGCCCTGCGAGCGTGTCACGGATAGAGGCCCCGCTGAGGGACCACCCTCTGCGCCCCCCCAGTGGTGTCGAGAAAGTGCCGCGCCTGCCACGCCCTGCGAGCGTGTCACGGATAGAGGCCCCGCTGAGGGGCCACCCCCTGCGCCCCCCCAGTGGTGTCGAGAAAGTGCCCACGCCTGCTGTGCTTGGACGACTGTCGTGCATAGCGGCCGCGGTGAGAGACCACCCCCTGCGCACCCCCTATGGTGTCGAGGAAGTGCCACGCCTGCTTGCCTGCCGCATGGCTTGCCGTGCGTATGTGTGTGATGCGTGTGCGGCCATATCGGGACATATCTCACGTGCTGCCCAGTATGTTGTGTAGACGTCTTGGGTGTATGATGCAGTGAACATGCGTCTTGTATGTGCGAATGTGTGCATGCGTGCGGCTGTGTGCGAATGTGTGGGTGAGGAGGCGGGAGGTGTGTGAGACGCGGGTGCGGCGCGGCAGGGAATTACGCTACCGAGGAACCCCACATACTTAATTTAAATCTTAGGTGTTTGCTTATGTATATAATATCTATGCACAATCCTGCGTTCTGGGCCCTCGTCGCGAATGTTCCCTGCTAGGCTTTGCGCCAGTGTCGTGGATAGCGGCCGAGCTGAGAGACCACCCCCTGCGCACCCCCTGTGGTGTCGAGAAAGTGCCACGCCTGCTAGCCTTTGCGCCAGTGTCGTGGATAGCGGCCGAGCTGAGAGACCACCCCCTGCGCACCCCCTGTGGTGTCGAGAAAGTGCCACGCCTGCTAGGCTTTGCGCCAGTGTCGTGGATAGCGGCCGAGCTGAGAGACCACCCCCTGCGCACCCCCTGTGGTGTCGAGAAAGTGCCACGCCTGCTAGGCTTTGCGCCAGTGTCGTGGATAGCGGCCGAGCTGAGAGACCACCCCCTGCCACCCCCTTTGGTGTCGAGAAAGTGCCACGCCTGCTAGGCTTTGCGCCAGTGTCGTGGATGGCGGCCGAGCTGAGAGACCACCCCCTGCGCACCCCCTGTGGTGTCGAGAAAGTGCACGCCTACTAGGCTTTGCGACAGTGTCGTGGATAGCGGCCGAGCTGAGAGACCACCCCCTGCGCACCCCCTGTGGTGTCGAGGAAGTGCCACGCCTGCTAGGCTTTGCGCCAGTGTCGTGGATAGCGGCCGAGCTGAGAGACCACCCCCTGCGGCTGAGCTGAGCCGGCTTGAGCCAATGTGTTACATATCAGGATGCTCGAGGGTCAAGACATGTGTCCCATATGTCGATCTGTGGAGCTCCCCACCCCATGCGCCGCCCTCTGGCGTCGAGGAACTGTTACGCCTGACACGCCCTGGAAGCCTGAAAGAGAGAGCGCCCCCAACTCCTGCCACACCCCTGCGAGCGTATCACGGATAGAGGCCGCACTGAGGGACCACCCTCTGCGCACCCCCATGCGATGTCGAGAATGTGCCGCGCCTGCCACGCCCTGCGAGCGTGTCACGGATAGAGGCCCCGCTGAGGGACCACCCTCTGCGCCCCCCCAGCGGCGTCGAGAAAGTGCCGCGCCTGCCACGCTCTGCGAGCGTGTCACGGATAGAGGCCACACTGAGGGACCACCCTCTGCGCACCCCCATGTGATGTCGAGAATGTGCCGCGCCTGCCACGCCCTGCGAGCGTGTCACGGATAGAGGCCCCGCTGAGGGACCACCCTCTGCGCCCCCCCAGTGGTGTCGAGAAAGTGCCGCGCCTGCCACGCCCTGCGAGCGTGTCACGGATAGAGGCCCCGCTGAGGGACCACCCTCTGCGCACCCCCTCTGGTGTCGAGAAAGTGCCGCTCCTGCCACGCCCTGCGAGCGTGTCACGGATAGAGGCCCCGCTGAGGGACCACCCTCTGCGCACCCCCTTTGGTGTCGAGAAAGTGCCGCTCCTACCACGATCTGCGAGCGCGTCACGGATAGAGGCTGCGCTGAGGGACCACCCTCTGCGCACCCCCATGTGGTGCCCAGAATGTCGTGCAGACGTCTTGGGTGTATGATGCAGTGAACATGCGTCTTGTATGTGCGAATGTGTGCATGCGTGCGGCTGTGTGCGAATGTGTGGGTGAGGAGGCGGGAGGTGTGTGAGACGCGGGTGCGGCGCGGCAGGGAAGAAAACCATAACCCCACGAAACATGTGGGGAAGACAACCAGAACGCCACGAGACATGTGGGGAATAACGCTGCACCACATCGACGGACCTGAAAACGCCCCAAACATGACCCTAAAAACGCA